AAAATGCATCATATAAATGAGATGGCATCATTTATATGTTGAATATAGAGAAGCCAAGCAATGGGTCAAATAAAGTGAAAATTAAAAAACTAACCCTTGAATGGAAGCCATAGGACTGAGACATTTAGAGGGGATGGGCAGAGTGAAGAGCGAGGACGAGCCATGGAGGTTGCACAATGGACTGTGATGGTGGATTATGTTTGCTTTGACTTTGGCAGTTCTGAGGTATTATCACTTTAAGGTGTGGAGATCCTAACTTCCTAAACAACAATGTGAGCCAATATTACCTCAATATAAGTAGTTAAAACATATATTTTTAAAGTCACAATTTTAGTGTAAAACTGAGTCTATCAATGGGTGAGTGGATGGGTGGGGGGCAGAACCGGGAGAGAACACAATGGATTACCTTGTGTACTGGTGGTGGGTGTGTTATGGTAACACACCACATGTGATCCTATACTCCTCAATCATAGAGTTATTGTAAAGCAGTATTACCTCAATGAAAAACTGTTGGCAATACACTTTAAGGTAATATTTCAATGAAAAAAGGATAAAATAAAATCTAAAAGTCAAAAAATGAAATATTACTGACGATATTTGTAAGGAAAAGTGGGAATCTAATGCACAAAATGAAGACCTACGCAACATTTCACAAACTAATTTCCTGAGTTCCAAAAATAAATAAATCCTTGTGATTCATATCCTTATCCTACGTCTAATTGTAACTGGTAGATGAAGCCAAAGACTGTTATAGGTAGTGTCCCCTGGAGGTGGGTGCTGGTGAGCATGGATAGTCCCAGAGAAAATGGGAACAAAGTATTGGTGGGGGGGTGAAGACTGATATATATATAAAGGTCACAGAAATCTGATCTTAAAATCCTTGAAGAGCTGAAAATGCTGAAATCCCAAACACTGAATCCTGAATCCTGCCTGGGGGCTGCTTCTGCAGTCTGAGGGGTATATATATCAGCTTTTGGGATTTCAGCATTTTCAGCTCTTCAAGGATTCCAAGGTCAGATTTCTGTCCCTACCATGTTGATCTTACCAAGAAGATTGTTACGGACATCTGAAGAATGGGGAGAGGCTTCCAGAAGTCACCTCAGAGAGGAAATGTTTAGAGTACTTGCTTTACAAGTAGGTAAGAGACTGAATCTGTTCCCAGCTTTACTGCTGTTACAGCCTGGTAGGGAAAGTGAAGACCCCAAATGGGTGCTTTGCTGAGCTATCTAGTGTGGCCGCTGTAGTTGCTGTTTTGAGTGTCCCTTATCTGGCTCTATGCTGAGGCATATCAGCAGCTCTGGTGAGTATCTCCTGCTTTGTCTTCTGCTGTCTTCATGGGTTGTATCCTGGTCTATAGTCTGGCTACTGTGTGCTCTGTGTCTTTCATGGCAGGAAGATGCCATCTTGAGAGACTGTGTTTAGGACTTTAGAACATTGCTCAGTTTCAGGTAAGGTAAACTGCCATTTTTGGCCTCAGTAACTATTTTTCCCTTGGTTTTTAAATAAATACTGTTATTGTTCTTCTCTGAACCTGAGTAGTCTTTCAATTGAGTATGTGAGTGAAGAACTCAGACGGTGGCCAGTAAACTATTTTCCCACTGTCCTTTGCCAGTTTTAATGCCCAATGATGCCCAAGTTTGGATCCTACATTTCAAAAGAATGCATTTGTCAGGACAGTTGGGTGAAGAGACCTGATTACTTACACCTGATCTAACTTTTTGTTAAAGCCCTATTTGATTTTGTGTATTAACTTTTATTATCTTATATTTCTTTATTTTTGTAGCAGTAGCATTACTTTACAGCATTGTATATAATTCAGAAGTATAGGTTCACTCCTTTTCAGATATATATTACCATACCATACTATCACCAAAACATCCATCCATAGCCCTCCACCATACTCCATTAGGGCCTCCTGCTAATTTCTATTTTCCAAATAAACTGAGTTTTTGTTGTTGTTAGGTTGTGATAATCAATATGGTGGCCATTAACTACAAGCCACATATGGTCTTTAAATAAAACTAAAGTTCAATTCCTTGGTAACATTAACCACATTCCAAATATTCAATAGCCAGTAGCCACCATGTTTGATATCAGAAACTGTAGAGCCTACATTACTACAGGCATTTCTATTGGAAAATGTGAATTGGAGATAGTATCCATTCTGCTAAACAACTTACTATGAAAGTGACAAGTCACATTTCTTTTTATTTTTCAGAATCTAACAATTTCTTATTCTATTTTTGAAATATATATAAAACAACATTCTTCATTTTGTGCATTTTTTCATCTAGGTTATAAACCTCATGGACTTCCCACCACCAATTCACACATGTGCTATCACCAAAGTCCCCTGCACTCTTCCCACCCCAGTTTTGATCCTATTCCCCTCTCCAACCCTGTAGAGTATATCTGGTTTATAGTTGTTTGTTGATTACATCTTTATTACAATTTTTTTCTGATCCCTTACACTCTGGCTATGAGTAAAAACACCTGGTATTTTTCTTTTTCCTTCAGGTTTATTTCACTAACATGATCATTTCCAGCACCATCTGTGTTGTCAGAAATGGCATGAGTTTACCTTTATTGATTGCTTAGTAGTATTCCATTATGTATAGGCACTGAATCTTCTTGATCCAGTCATCTATTTTTGGGCATTTGGGTTGATTCCACATCTTCCCTATTGTAAATAGGGCAGTGATAAAGATATGGGTGCAGGTGTTCTTTAGAATTAATGTTTATTTGTGTCCTTTAGATAGATACGTATGAGTGGAATTGCTGGATCATATGAAAGCTACATTTTTAGCAGTTTGAAATAATTCTAAACAGCTTTCCATAGTGATTGGACCAGTTTGTATTCCCACCAACAGTGTAGGAGAGTTCCCTTTCCTCCATATCCTCACCAGCATTTGTTGTTGCTATGTGTGTGTGTGTTTTTTTTTTAGTATGTGCCATTCTCACTGGTGTGAGATGGTACTTCATTGTGATTATGATTTACGTTTCTCTTACTACAAGTGATGTTGAAGATTTTACATATGACTGTTGGCCGTCTGCATTTCCTCTTTGGAGAAGTGTCTTTTTAGCTCTTCTATCCATTTTTTGATGGGGTTGTTCACTTTTTGTTGAGTTTTGTCAGTCATTTATATATCTTTGTGATCAGTCCTTTATCACTGGTATTGTATCAAACCCCACATTTCTACAGTCAAAGTTCTTTAATGCAGATGTATCTGCTCTGTACTTAATGTTTTCTTCCCAATTCTACCCTTATAATATTCATGTCATCATTCTTATAGTATGAATAATTAAAGAAGCTAAAGGCTAGAAAAATTAAACTAGAGATGATATGACTAGACAGTGGTAAGAAAAAAACCTGTATTTTTTGACTCCTGCATAGTTTTCTATTGGGTTAGATATGGAGATACCACTGCAGGAGCCTTTCCTAAAATTGCTCATTTAAAAAATCACCTATCGGCCCTCCCTGGTGGCGCAGCGGGTTAAAGCACTGCACTAAGAAGCTAAAGCCACTTCCGCATGAGTTCGATTCCCGCCTGCCCCAGAGGTGACCCACATGGCGTGGCAGACCTCTCCTGTCCGCCCGCTGCTCCCCTCAGCAGTGTACTTCCTAGATCTGCCTGTTCTGCTTTCTGCTCTGTCTCTGGTGAAACCTCTCACCCTCCGCATCTCTGGCCTGTGCCCCAGTTCTGTACGAATAAATAAATAAATATTTTAAAAAAAAATCACCTATCATTTTCCTTTCTATTTTTATTTTTTATACCTACACACAAATAATTTTTCACTTGAATTTTCTTAAGAGATTAGTAACATTCAATTCCTTGATATATTTATAAACAAAAATATATTTTCAACATGTCAGTATCATCTGAACAGTTTCCTAATATAACTCTTTCAGGACAAGCCCTTCAGATTATATACATTAAAATATCTTATTTAATTGTTCTATGAATATATTTTTAATGTTGGTCATTATGTTAATCATACTCTGGTAGTGTTCATTTAAATATTCACAAAATTTTGTAAGTCCCTTGACATAAGCTATACACATTTATTCTTAAACACATTTTCCAAGATCAGTAATTTGCAGGCACCATTTTCTATACCCAAAACTGTGTCTTCTAACACTTCATATAGCATATAGATAATTAGAAATGAATAGATAACTGTTGTCTCTGTCTGCATATTATGAAGTATAACAAATACTTGCCACGACCCAAATCAAGCCAAAATATAAGTTCTTCAGATTAAGTAAAACTTGTTGCCTGACAGCGTTAGTTATGTTTTAACAGCAAACTAACACTGTCTGTTTCCAAAGACTTGGAAAAAATTAAAGTATCTAACATTAATAGCACATTGGATAAAATTTAATCTCATTTGATAACTCAAGGGGTACTTAAAGATCTTGCGTTCACTAAAAACAATCATGAAAAATATATATCCTTATTCAGTATATATAGAAGTGCTTGTAAGTTAATGCTTTATTCATCACTTAAATAAATTTACTTTTTATCTTTTTAATAATCAATATAAAACTTTCTATGTAAAATAACCATCTGGAAAAAGTGATAGGTTTGTAAATTCATACTTACCATTTAGATGTATTTGTTTTGGTCAAGTTGGCATTAGAGTCATGATTAAACATTGATTCAAAGTAAGATACTGACATATTTTAAGGAAGATATTAACACTTATCTTACTAAAAGTACTAAGATATTGAGTATTTTATAGATTTGCAAATAGCAGGACTGCAACCCTTGCTTGACCTCTATAATAGTGTGCTTGAAATGTATATATATATATAAAATGAAGACATTTGTGACCCCATGCAATTTCATCAATGAATTCTTTCCACTACGTTTAACTTAAAATTTTAAAAAACTGAGGTGATGGCTTACCAAAATCTGAAGTGCACTAAGACCCCTGCCCCCACCATTTCTTGACTTTAAAAAGTGAAATGTCTTCAGTAAAGTGTTTTTAAAACGCACCTTTATTAGTTGGTAGTTTTGGACTCCATTTATTCCGACATCAGGGTCAATGGCCGCTGGGAGTGCATATCGAGAATTTATAGCCGAGTTCTCTGGAATTGATATGTTGATAACCGTTGCTGGGAATAATGGTGCATTATCATTTATATCTTCTATCATAAAGCGTATCTTAACCAGTCTAAATATTTCATCCGGTAAAATGGCAACCTCCACTTCATAAAAGCAACGGGCTTCCACCAAGGTCGTGGCACACAATTTCTCACGATCTATGCGAGCTCCAGTGGTGAAGATCTCACCAGTACCTTCTTCGATGCGAATCAGTGGTACATCCCCAGTCTTGTACACTAGCTTGAACTGCATAGGAGATGTTAAGGATTTGTCTGGAATCAGCGACAAGTTGAGGTCTTTCAGCAACTCACCTATCAGGACGTTTTCTGGCATTTCTTCTCTGACAGTGTAGTTCTTCTCCTGGGCGCCAGACTGAAACACAACACATGCTAACAGGACAGCAAATATATACGTCCCAGACAACAAGTCCATACCAGGCACGATTATTGACAGTTCCTTGTATCAACCTACAGAAATCTGTCAAATGGGAAAGAGAAAGAGGAAGAAAAAATTAATAAATCCATTAAATGCACATTAACTAAATGTTCAGCTTTAAATAAAAATCACTAAATGAATAGCTGGCACAATCAGCAAAGATAATGACAAATTTGTATTGAATTTAATATTAAACGTTTTTACATTAAGATAAAAAGTGAAACAAAATACATATGGTATTTAAGAAAGTCATCATATTTGTAAAAATGTTTGCACTTACAAAATATCGTATTATAATATACTGAGATCGTAAGTATAATTTGAAACACTTAGAAGTTATTTTCAATCACAAAATTATAGTGATCTGTTGTTTATTGTGGTTTTTAAATGCAATTATTTTATTAGTAATGAATGATTTATACACTATTCCTACGCTGAGCCTCAAAATGTAAAAGTTTATTTAGATAAACAGAAGAAAAAGAACCATGACACATGGAGTCACAGAGAAGAAATGCCAGAAAAGTCCTTTCAGAGGGGAGAGGTTTTTAAGAAAAATGTCTGAGCACAGGAAGAAATATTGTGTGGAAAAAGACTAATACTTTCTGTCCTTGGATGAGAAAAAAAATAATTAATATAATCCATCAGCTGTTGGTGAAGGGCTATAGAATTTTGATGGGTGTGATGTGGTTTCACACACTTAAAGAGGTGTGGAGATCCAAAACCTATAAACTATTGTAAACCAATATTTATTTCCTCAGTTAAAATAAAAACAGAATTAGGTAAAAATTACACTGAACAACTTTCAGATTAACATTAACAACAGCTTACAGATGAATACTGGGGGGGGGGGACAGTTTTCAGGAACTAGTAAATTTCATATCTTGGGAGGTACTAATATAGAAGTTGGACTATTACTTTACATCTCTGCCTTTTTCTCATACACATTCCACATATTCAGTAGGTAGGCTAGATTAGAAGTCATCTGAGAATTTGTATATATATTACAGAAAGTAGCCCATATGAATACAAGTTTTCACATCTGCAAAGTGATGTAAGATCTATCCAAATACAAGGATGAGTTATGAGGAAGTAATATCTAGATAATGTTGCAGAAATACAAGTTGAAATTTGTATCACACTGTACTAACCCTTATCAAATGTTATATTTTTATAATTAAATAAGGAATAATCCAGCTATCCTTACATTCAATAATGTTTAATGATTAGCTAAAAGTTGGCCATTTAAAAATCCATTACAAAAATTTATAATGCATGTAAATATCTATGGAGTTTTTAACATTTATTGATAATAACATTAATAAAATATTGATAATAATTCTAATAACAGGAGGACTTATGAACTGATATAAATAACTTGCTGTGTATATTATGTTCCAACTATAAACATTTGTACTTTATAATAAATATTTTTGCCACTGTATATAGTTCTACATCTACATTTTGAAAAATATTCACAGGGAAAGTCAGAAGACACAAAAGTAAGTGCAAAGAAAACTTCCTATTTTCAATAAATAATAGAATAAATGCATTTGTTGCAATAATTGAGTCATTATAGTCAAGAAATGAAATAAATTTAAAATATATTTTATAAATTATTATCACAGCATTAAAAATTTGTATATTATAGGCCCAACCATTTTCCTGTATTGAATGTTTGGTAGCATTTATAAAACACTGTAAGTATAATAGTGAGTAACACTAATGCTGAAAACATACTCTATCCTCGTAAACAACACAAAAAGAATTGCCTGTGGTATTTTTAGCATCATTTGCTCAATGATGAGCATTGGGATTAAATAATAAGGAAACCTTCTCAAGATTCATTCTCTTGTGAATTATTGGCCATATATTCCCTTTATGAAAATAAGAATAAATATACCCCATTGATAATTGCATGATTCAATATGCAAGTATATATATATGAATCCAGAATTTCCAAAAAAAAAATTGGTTGTCTATATATGTGTTTATAAATATCATACAAATAAAAGCAAAAACAGAAATAGGACAGTGGCAGCTGGTATTGAAACTACCAGGCTATTCTTATATTACCCTTAGGTATTACATAATATTACAACTGGCAAAATACTACAGACCATTTTTAAAAACATTGCATGCAGGTTGCGATATCTCTACACAAGTGGAGGAAGTGAGAAAGTGATCTAATTCCAAGCAGTCTTCCTCTCTATCTACTTTAAATTGTTCTACTCTACTTTTAATAATGTCATCAAATAAGTCATTTTTCAATGTATTTTCACAATTTGAAATTCTTCCAGAGGTTTTAAAAACCAGGAAATGTGAAGATAGTACCACTTCTAACCTTAGGCGAATATATGTATTGCAACTTACATGGAATGTTTACCCTACAGTTTATCAATTTATATATACAGTAAGTATTTCTCTTTAATTCAGTGTTAAATATGATAAAAAAAAAACTTTGTTTCTATCAAGAGGTAGATATGCATGGCTAAAATCCTAAATCTGCAGATTTCAATCCCAACCTTTATTTTTACCACTTCAAAAGTTATAGTTATTAAAAATATTTTTATTTAAATGTGGAGTTTAATTCCTTGAATGTTCAATACAGAAATTTTGTTACTAAATAGACATATAAATAGCCCCCCATTTGGTTTGTGGGAACCTAGTGAATTCAACCGAAACAATCAGGGAAACTCTTCTTATACACATTATCTTACTTGGTTCCAATTTTCTCTCTCATGAATAAATGATAAGATAACATTAAATTTATTTACTCCTCATCTACATCAAACATAACTCCAGCTATAGCCTAAGGCATTTTTTTAATTGATGAGGGAAACACAGTAGAAATAGATACAGGGAATCAAAATTGCCGACAATTTTCAGTAGCGCTGCATAGTGATTGAGCAGCCAATAGTCTTTGCATAATGGTCCAGAATCAAGGTGAACTGAGCAAAAACAAAAACAGAAACAAGCAACTCTAAACTTTTAAAATATGTAAAGCTACAGGCCCTCCCTGGTGGCGCAGCGGGTTAAAGCACAGCACTAAGAAGCTAAAGCCACTTCCGCATGAGTTCCATCCCCACCTGCCCCGAGGAGATCCACATGGCGTAGCAGACCTCTCCTGACCCGCCCGCTGCTCCCCTCAGCAGTGTACTTTGTCGATCTGCCTGTTCTGCTCCCCTCTCTGTCTATGGTGAATCCTCTCACCCTCCGCATGTCTGGCCTGTACCCCAGTTCTGTATAAATAAATGAATAAATCTTTAAAAAATATATATGTAAAGCCACAAATGGCTGGCTGTTCTACCCCAGATAGTGTTCATATTTTCAGTAGTCCAAAAAAAAGTTGCAAGATGGTGTTGTTGCGTCAATGAGAGCCTGGAGCAGGTGCATCAGCCCTCAACTCACGGTGGCAGCTGTATGTAGTCACAGGCATACCTGAGACTCCAGCCAGCAGCCAGCAGCTGCAATCCAAATGCTGGTCTAGGCAGTACCAACTGCAACAATAAGAGGTGGAACTAAACATGCAGAGGCAGGAGTGGTGGTAAGGTGATGTTCCAGAGTATCAGAAGCAGTGAATAGAATTTAGAGGTGGCTGGGCACAGGCCAGCAGTGCCAGTCAGTGCCAGCCAACACTAGTCAACAGGTGGCAATATGGAGGATCAGGCACTTGTATTAAAGCTCTTTAGTGATGCCAGGCATAGGCCAGCACCAGACAATTCCTTTAGAGGTGCCAACCACAGGCCAATGGTGCCAATGGGTTGAAGGACAAAGCATCAGCAGTCATGTGGAGACAGACATTTGACATGGAGATCAGATGTGAAGAAGTGAAAGTCTCAATGAATGAAATCTGAGGTGAGGGTCTTGATGAGCATGTCCAAAAAGTGTTCTGGAATCCATGTGCTGCCCTTGTCGATATCCTTTTCAGGATGTCTACTTTTCAAACATGATTGGCCCATTTTCAAAACTAGAGAATTTCCAGGACTTGATTGGCACCAGTGCGAGTTCAAACTTAATTGGCCTGTTTTCCAACTGTGCCCATTTCAAAATCTAAATTGTGCCAGTGTGAACTCAAATCTGATTGGTGTGTTTTCAAAATTATGCCAGCTTCAAAATCTGAATGGAGTCAGTGGGGTTCAGATCTGGCTGGTACAGCTTCAAAAGTGGCATGGGATTAAAAACCCAGAGGTGGCTACTTTGTGAATACCTGCCCTGCCTTGCTTTGGCTGTCCCATGCTAGGGGCACAGTTCCCTGCATCTCCAAAGCAGGCAACCTCAAACATATGCAAGTCTAGATAATTAAACCTACAAAAGTAATGTTCAAATGGTTTGTCCTAAGAACCCCGAGGCATAATTTCCCTGATGAACTTGTGGACATTTTCCTCATTGCAGTGCTGTGCTTCATTTGTGATATTAAACTGGCTCTATATGAACTGACATGCTAAAATAACAAGCTGCTAAAAAACTACATATTTAGATATTACACAAAAAATATCGTGCTATGCATAATCCTACCTCCACTTGGCTCCCATCACTTGGTGTACTCTCATGTTCCATGAACTCAAAAAATTCATAATCCATGCTGACTAACCTCTATGTTCTTGTTATCATGCAAAGTTAAAGCTTCTTTTACAGACTAAGAAAACAATAAAGTGGTTCTTTATGTTGACTGGAAGAAATGTAGAATGACGTAAGAAAAGTGATAATATCTGGAGAAAAACAAACTGGAAAAACAAATTAGTTCCATACTTTCAAAGGGACAGAATACAAGGAGAGTGGCGTCCTCTTTGACATGACTATTTCTTTGTGTTTTGAAATTTCAAATGCCAGTATAAAAGACCTCATAATATATTTAAATTCTATAAAAATGGTCTTTTTATTCAGTTTTATTCCGCAAAGGACACGTTCATTTTATTTCTTTTGGTATGTATCTAATTTTCACATTCTGAGTACAGTTTGCAAACTCAAGCCTCTTACAAATATAGAATTGTTGTGATGAGTTATGTTCCAACTACCTGTAAGGGCCTTAAATAA